GTCATGTATTTCAGAGATTTATCATGTTTATGTAGGATTTCAAACTAAGTGCCCATGTCAAGCACATTTGGAAACAATCCCTATTTTGTTCAAAATATTGTGGTATTTTGTTAGTTCTAATTGAATAAACAGGATAAAATCAGTGCCTTTTAACCACGATTAATGTTACATGCGATAAATATTAACCATGCAAACACATTTAAAGCCTCTTTTTCCTCATTGGCCTTGTGAAAGAAACCTGTAAGCAACAAAGTTTGAGTTTTTGATTTCATAGTTTGAATGTTTTACTGCCTATTGCTGCAGATTTAGGGACAAACATCAGCCTTCATGCATATAAATCATGTAATGAAAATGTTTTGTACTCATGTTCAAAGATTATTTGAAGATCCCCAGATTTAGTGTTGCTTTTTATGGGAGCTACAGCAGCTGAGCAAGCTGGGCGGCTGACTGACTGATATTGACGCTCACCAGTGATGTGTTAATATCGATATTGTCCCATGTTGCATTGCTTGTGTTGACTTCCAATGTCAGAACAGCCACTGTTGAAATGTTACTGTGCTTTCAAATGGATCGTTGATTGTAGTTGTAATGGAATCGTTAAGTTGTTTGAGGAAATGACATACAGTTTTATCTGATGATGCTGATTGTTGTATTAATTTCATCATGTTCATAGTGTTGGGTATTACTATGCTCAAAGCAGTAGAGGCTTTAAGGTTTGAGAGTAATTGTAGTCTCTAGTAGTTGTTTGTTATGCCAGTGGAAATCAAAACATTTCCATTATATTTCACAGTGGTTGAAATATTGAATTTAGAATGTCATAATAAGTCTGTTAGAAAGCAGCACTTTTCAATATCACTTCTCACCATAAACAGTGTACCCGTGAAGGTCCGGGTTAGAATATTGGTCTTCAGTAACCCATGCTTGTCGTAAGATGCGACTAATGGGATCGGGTGGTCAGGCTCGCTGACTTGGTTGACACATGTCATCGGTTCCCAATTGCGCAGATCGATGCTCATGCTGTTGATCACTGGCTTGTCTGGTCCAGACTCGATTATTTACAGACCGCTGCCATATAGCTAGAATATTGCTGAGTGCAGCGTGAAACTAAACTCACTCACTCACCCATGAACAGTGTGATTATTTACTTGAAAAAGCTTTTATACAAAACTGTGTGAAAAGGCCATATATTTGATGAGCTGTGATAGGGAATTCTAGACATATTAAATAATATCAGGCTAACTAAACATTGCTTCATGTGATATCAGACTGTGTTATGTACAGTACTGCAATCTGGGCATCCTCTTTGAAGCTGTGCAACACAGCTCCTTACAGTGGTGATACCTCATTCCCAGCTGCATATTCTAGAAGTTCTACTTATTGATTTGATCAATGTCATTAAAGGACATGTTTGATTGTGCATCATGCATACTGGTGCTGATTTCAGGAAGTAATCACATAATAGAAACCATGCGAACCTAGTCAGTAGTGTGACCAAGCACCCAAAGTGTTTGACAATGGTTGTTTAGATTGGACATTGGCAGACCACATTCATGTGTAAAGATTATACTGTTTAGTTCCCTTGTAATTGTATTCTGTATATAGTGTCTGTCAGCAGTTAGAACTCCCATCACAGCCAGTACCTACAACATACACAATAGTCCAAAATGCAAGTTCCAAATAGGTCTTGAAGTATGTTCTTTATATATAAATTATAAGTTTGCTAAGGGTCCAGTTCAATGATATAAATACAATGAAAGATCATCCAACAAATATAGTTTAAAAATATTGCGATATGCATTGATTCAGTAACCCCTGTAGTGTCAGTTTCTGAGACCTCTGAGATTAAGGATATACATACTGATGCTGTCTGGGCATGAGGTGCTTAAAAGCCTGTGTTGGATATATATATAATGTTCACACTAGTGTCATTGAGCTCAACATTTTTTGTTCCTGACGATTGCAACAACTGAGTGCTCTTCTGTCCCTTCAGTATTAAAGATGTCGTATCACAACCAAAGAATCAGGCCGATGCTAAGAAAATGCTTGAAAGTTGGAGAACACAAGGTGTTCAAAATGTCCTTGGTGTCAGCCAAGAGGTGATGCGCCGGACGTAGAATAATGAGTAGGACATGGAATCAGTACCACCTGTTTGGATCAGCTTTCCATCTACATAGTAGGGGTCGACGTTATTTAAACACACAGCAGAAAGACATGTTTCTCCTGATTGCAGCAAGACATCATGACTTTGTTGCTGCCAGCAAACTGGAATTGGGATTCTGTCTAAGCTTCACTGAATGTAGTGCCTGAGTGTGGTGAGCACAAGGAGAAATATTTGACTTAACAGAAAACATTCTGACACAACAGAACATGACTGCTATGGAGGAACTCCTTCATTATTTGTGACGGGACAAGTAGAGCATGGAGAACCTATTTTTATGTCTTTCAGTGGGGCACAATGACTACAGGTGTGTCCTACAGGGATGACATTCTGGTTGTGTGCGTAAGACTGTATGCTGATGCAATCCGATTTGTTTTCATCCTCAAGGTCGATAACGCAACCTGCATCTTGCCTTGGCAACTATCTAGATTACCAAGAGCATGCAACAGTGGTGCCAGGCTGTGATTGCATCACTTAGATCACAAATGAGCTACTGAGAAATGTCTTTTGGACAATGACAATGATTTTATTTTCGTGATCTTTTGTTGTTTTAGTCTTGTTCAGTTGCTCTAAATTTTACAAGTGATTTGTCATTGTCATTGTATGGCACGTGACAACAGACTTTTGTCATCAAACAGGTCTTCGCGCAGTATTGTCCAATGGTGATCGTAAGCAGACTTTGAGTGGTTTTGTCCACCTCAAATCTAGTTTCTTTGTTAGTGTTATTCAATTTCCTGATGTTCTCTGTGTAGAAAATGTTATGCAAGGTACATTTGATTTTCAGGTTAGAATTGGTCTCCTCCTGTCTATACTTGTCTAAGACGTGATAAACAGGATCAGGTGGTCTGGCTCATTGACTTGTAGTCAGATGCTCATGATGTCAATCACTAATTTGCCTGTTCTAGACCTGAATCTAGGACTATTGCTGACTGTGACTTGAAACAACAAACCATGACACATGTTCCATTGCTCATTACTTTAACTTATGTTACTTTGCACCAATCAAACTAAACTCTGTTCTGACCCAAGTGGCCTGCTCCAAAAGTCACTCAATATTTTGAAATGTCCAAGTATTCATGATACTGAAGCTGAGTAGTATGGTTATTGGGTACGCACATACAACAATGGTCATTCCAGGCTTGGCCCTTGTGACTTCATGGGCTTTTCTGAGACTCTGATTAATGTTATCAATGATAAATAACCCCAGCTCCTCCACATTCATGGCTGCATCTATTTTCTTCTTTGACGATAATAGGCTGTGTTTTGTGTCTTCCACACAAAGCAATCCTGCAGCTTGTGCAGGGTACTCACTTAAACCAAGGAAACAAGTTGTGACCTGATTCTGCATTGATAGTAGAAAGTTTACCATTTCTAACATGGTGAGGGATGTGTAGATCTTTGTTTTATTAATGCTTCCGACAGCTCTTATCGACCATGTTGACCTCCTGTCTCTTGTAACAATTCCCTGAAGATCTCTGTGTAGGAAATGTAGTGTTATGCAAGTTACACTTGATATTCAGGTTAGAATTGGTCTCCACCAATCTATACTTGTGTAAGATGTGACAAACAGGATCAGATGGTCGGGCTCATTGATTTTTGCTTGATGCAAGTCATTGTATCCCAATTATATAGTCATGCTCATGATGTCAATCACTAGTTTGCCTTGATATTAGGATTACTTTCGGCTTACCTCCCTATCATTAGTATCAAGTTAACATACCATTACCTGAAAAGTACTGTTCAATGTGGTGTTATAATATAATGGTCCCCTAATCTATGTTTACATGGTTAATGAGGAACTTTCTTCGATCTGTTTAAAAATGTGGTTTATCCATCAGTAAGAATTGACAGAAAATCTTGTTTGTTTCTTGTCATGTCTATGTTATTTCCATGAAAATCTCATTGATGATTTCATGTTAATGTTAATGATAGAAATCCTTCAATAATATACAAAAGCTTGATTAGAACAGCAATTGCTTTTTCTATGAGTGATGAACACTTCAGTAATTGAAACTTATGATATTAACAACTATGGAAAGTGAACTGTGGAGTTTCTTATCTTTTCTTTATGTTTACACTTCATTAATCATCTTGAGCATGTTAATAATTTCTTGGGACACGTTTTACTAAGCCTATTTTTCCCCACCATGTTGACGAAGCATATAACTGGTAACACGCTGAACTTCACTCAATAAAATATCAGATGTCAAGTATGAAGAACATTAAATGTGGGGAATTTGAAAAGTATTGATGTTGGTTATAAAATGACTGAATTTATTGTGACTTGACAATGCTAGTCTGTCTGAGTCGCTGAACCACAATATTGTCCCATCCACCCAACCCTTTCTACAATACAATGGCCTAAATGAATCAAATTGAGATTTTCCTCAGGTCCGAGTCTCCTATCTCACTGGGATTCCTCTTCAGTTTAAGTGGAATCATTGATTTCTATCAACATTATTTATATTCACAAGCGTCAATCTTGTCTAATGCCCCCTAAACAGTTTATTTTTTGTTTCGACTTACACATCATGCATGCTCTGGTAAGTTAAGCTTACTATGCCGAAATAAATTTAACTAGACCAGGGCTTCAGACAAATACTGTAAGTTGTATGTTGAAATTTAACTAATAATCATAAATAATCAATAATAGCAGAGACCATATACCAAGTATCATCTCTGATAATAGCAAAAAACAGTTACACTTTATGGTTGTGACATAATCACTTCAGGCCTGATTTACTTTACTGTTGCTGCAGTGTTAATGTATCACAGACATGTATAAGAAGTCTTGCATGATAGCTGTTCATGCCACACACTCAATAACATGGCTCACTGTTGTTTCAGATTACAGAGTATTGAATCATGGGCTGTGGAGACTGTCTAGCTGGCTGTGCCAGAGTGCTACTCATAGTCTTTAATTTCATCTTCTGGGTAAGTCATTTGCTGTTGATTGTCAGGAATTGTACATGTGAAAGATATAATCATTTCAAGGCTTGACTAAAGCCTGTGTATTTCAAATGATTCAGCTTCCTTGATTTTCATTTTCTATCTCTGGACATGTCAGATCTTGCCGTAATAGATCATGCTAATTGGTAACATTGTTCAGAAGATGATATTGTTACGCCAAAGACCCGGGTTCGATTCCCCACATGGGTACAATGTGTGAAACCCATTTCTGGTGTCCCCCCGCCGTGATATTGCTGGAATATTGCTAAAAGCGGCGTAAAACTAAACTCACTCACTCACTCAGAAGATGATATGCATAAATGTTACTGTAATTTGTCAGAACAAGTATCATTACTGTAATATACATTTGCTAGATCGGTTTTCATGCTGTCGTCCGGTTTGTCTGGTCCAGATTAAATTATTTGCACACCTCCGTCATACACCTGAGTGTAATGTGAAGAACCAACATTAGGCCAGACCAGTTTTATTTCTTGTTTTACGGATACGCCTGTCATATTTTTTCAAGAATAATAATACATTTTTTTTTTAAATTTCCCCTCTCAAAAAAATAAAATCCTAATGTTTTTATTGGCCAAAAATGTAAACTTACAGCAAAATTGTTTTTTTGATTGTTTTTTGCCTCATATACACTTCATAAATTGCCAAAAGTAAAATACTTTGAGTATTTAGAAGGAATATTACTTTGACTGGTGATTTACTTTATTTTTCCTTATCCTGACTCATGCTAATTATGCTTGTCTCCTTCCTCTTGCGAATGATAGTGGAACACTTGAAATCCCTTGAAGTTCCCTTTAAAAAAGCGGACGTAAAATCACTCATCCAGAGTAGGGTCCCTTTCCTCCCTTTGGCGCCCAAATGGTCACGATTGGCCATATTTGTCACTCTCTCCTTCTTCGCTCTTGAGACCGCCTCCGTGGTGTAGTGGTTCGAGCGTCCGCCCGGAGAGTGGAAGGTCGCTGGTTAGATCCCTGGCCGTGTCATACCAAAAGACGTTAAAATATGGTACTTGTTGGTCCCTGCCTGACGCTCGGCATTAATGGGTACAACAAGGACTGGTCGGCTCGGAGTCAGTATAATGTGTCTGAGTGGGATATTCATGCTTCACTGCGGCATGGTATCTCAGTGGGCTAGCACTATAAAACCAGCTTAAGTCTGGGCTAGTACAAGCAGCCGCACATACACATACACGCATGCATGCACGTCGTCATATGAGCGAAATATTCTCAAGCACGACGTTCAAACCCAATTCCACCACCATCTTTGCTCTTGAGGACGGTTGTGAGAGCACCTGGGTCCCTATACGGCACATATCCTTTTTAATTTTCGGACCTTACATCAAAATTATTGCTGTATACGGTTTTTAGGATTATATTCTACAGTACGGTTTGAAATTTGATCTTAAAATTTCCATTGTTTGACAATTGATGAAAATTTGTATTCGTTGTAGGTACCGAGTGTCCGCGTCTGACCCTCATTTATTATGTCCTAATTGCACTGTTTCATGTTCTTTCAGCTCTCGCTGTGAGTGTTGTGTACATTTAAATTCTGTTTAATTTAATAATTACCTTTTTCCATCCATAGACGTGCTAAGGACTGGGTACGTAGGTATTCACAAGTCATGTCTAAATCGAGTGATTACGCTGATAACCGTGTGTTAACCACTTCTGCAGATATTCATAATTCTAGTGAATTGCTGAACGTTTCTCAGGAGCAGGTCGATGTACCAGAGGTGAATGCCGGAGGCCATAAGAGATCATCGTCTACTGAGCTGACCTCATCGCAGATGAAGAAGGCCAAATCTTCATCTTCGCAGAAGAAGAAGGCTACTACCATGAAGACTTCAGCGAAGTCTAAGATCAGCTCTACACAGAAGACGAGGTCTTTCTCAGCCGAGATTGTTCCTCCGGAAGAAGCAGATGTTTATGATGATCCACCCATCCTCATACCTGAAGTCACCATCGTCAGTAAGAAGACGAAGCCTGCTTCTACAGCTACATCGGCTTTGGTATCAGCGCAGACTTTGACAGAAGACCTACTATCAACCCAGACATCGGGTACCAGAGATAGCAGCAGCGTCAACTCGTCACGAGTACAGCGAGCCTTAGATGACGTCTCTTCAGTATCAGATGCATCATCCCTGCAGCCGTCTCTTCAGACAACGCAGAACTTCAACCCGGAACTGTTAATGCAACAATTTACAGACCAGATGATATCGATGATGGAACGTCGCTTCGCTCAAGAGAAGGCTGCTATGAAGACTGCTACAACGTCTACTAGCCTGTGTGAAGGCTCTACAATCTCCCCACCACATCTGGATGAAAAGGGAAGCCTGCGCGAAGGCTCACAGACACGACGATCTTCCCCATCTGAAGTAGACGCCCCAGAGAGTGCTGCTAAGAAGTCTTCACGTAGGAAGGAATCGAGGCGTTCCCCCAAACCCTACAGACGTCGCAGATATGAGTCGTCATCTCCATCGGACTCTGACGACCATCAAGAGCCTGCGCGAAGGCACTTCTACAGAGGGGAAGTTACGTCGAGGCCTAGAGTCTAGATCGCATCGGGATCGATCACAGATCATCCCATAGAGAGAGGGAAGATTACGTCAATCAGCCTTCGTGAAGGCTTAGAGAGATATCTCAATACTCCAGGAGGAATACACAGTCACACCAGGACCGTTCACCTGCACGCAGCTCCACATACAGATCTACATACAGAGACTCGCGTCATTATGGATCTTCAGAAAAGGAAATGTCCAACTGCACCGTCTGAAGTTAGAAGTCTGGAGAACTCTACTAATGTCAGTTCAGCATAGCAGACCCCTCCAATGACAGTCGGCCTGCGCGAAGGAATATTAGCTATACAAGCTCTCTCGGATGAAGGCCTGCACAAACGGCTATGTTCACAAAGATCCTTACTGTCAGAAGTATCAGCTGTTAGAAGCCTTGAGGATTCAACAAGCGTTAGCAGTCCAAGATGGAGCCTCCACGCAGTTTCAGCATCTCAGCAGGAAGGATTCTAACACAGAAGTAGATCCAGTCGTTCTCCAGGATTCTACGGACTGCGCAGATACGGATCTTCCAACTTGGACCTTCATCAGCCTGCACGCAGGCACTTACGGGGAGGATTATGATCAGAGTCAGCATGTCCCGCCGTTCAACGATAGCAGATTTCCCCTTCATCATAGGTTTGAGATTTCAAGATCATCAGTGAATCCCGTAATAGATCTTCAAGATGGAACATAAGAAGATAACGCAACTGGACACTACAACTAGATGATGGCTATGTTGGATCAACGCGTGGCTGAAGGAAGAGACGCACACCTGAAGTAACGATGTCAGATAACATCCGATAAAACACTGAAAATGAATTTTCATCACATGGGTTTACAAGATTTCAAGGGGACAGTTAGCAGCATTGTCGCAGTTCCTCAGCGAGACATCGGTTACGGTCAACTTTACAGAACATCTGTATAAGATGACGACTGCAGTAAAGATTATAAAGTTGAAGAATACAGTCAAAACAGATAGGGAACAGTCTGCTTACATCGATACTACGCAGCAAAGTTTTTCGCGGCCACTCAGCCATCATCACCCCATCCTCGCCTACCTGAAGTCACAGTCGTCCAGCAATGAAGAGCCGAAGCCTGCTTCTACAGCTACATGCGGCATCGAGTGGTATCAGCGCGAACTTTGACAGAAGACCTACGGTCAACCGGTGACAACGGGTACCAGAGATAGCAGCAGCGTAAAACTCTTCACGCAGTGCAGCCCGGGAGCCTTAGGATGGCGTCTCTTCGGTATCAGATGCATCATCCCTGCAGCAGCCTTCTTCAGAACTAGCGCCAGTTCTTCAACCCGGGACTGTTCATGCAACATGTTACATGACCAGATGATATCGATGATGGAGCGTCGCTTACACTTCAAGAGAGAGGCTGCTATGGGAAGACTGCTTCTAGCGCCTCCTAGCCTGTGTGAAGGCTTTGCCAGTCTCCCCACCACATCTGGATGAAGAAGGAAGCCTCTTGTGAGCTGAAGCAGGACGCACGATTTATCTTCCCTCATCTGAAGTAGACGCCCAGAGTGCTGCTAAGAAGTCTTCACGCAGGAAGCAACGGTGGCGCTCTCAAACCCTACAGACGCCGCGATATGAGTCGCCATCTCCATCGGACTTCATTTCCACTCATCAAGAGCTCTCCGCGCCGCGCACTTTACAGAGGGGAAGCATTGCCTAGGCTCTAGAGTTCAGACGATCGGATCGCATCACAGATCATCCCATAGAGAGGGAAGATTACGCCAATCAGACTTTCGTGGAAGGCTTAGAGAGATATCTCAATACTCCAGGAGGAATACACGGTCACACCGGGACCGTTCACCTGCACCGCAGCTCCACATACAGATCTACATACAGAGACTCTCGGTCATTATGGATCTTCAGATAAAAGGAAATGTCCAACTGCAACGGTCTCGAAGTTAGAAGTCTGGAGAACTCTACTAGCGTCAGTTCGGCATAGCAGACCCCTCCGATGACAATTCGGCCTGCGTGAAGGAATATTAGCTTTACAAGCTCTCTTGGATTAAAGGCCTGCACGAATGGCTATGCTCCACGAAGATCCCGCCTTACTGTCAGAAGTACCAGCCGTTAGAAGCCTGGAAGGATTCAAACGAAAGCGCTAACAGTCCAAGATGGAGCCTCCGCGCAGGTTCAGCGTCTCAGCAGGAAGTATTCTAACACAGAAGTAGATCCGGTCGTTCTCAGGATTCTTCAGATCGGCTGAGATAACGATCTTTCCAACTTGACCTTCATCAGCCTGCGCACGCAGGGGCGCATACGGGGAGGATTATATAATCCAAGGTCAGCATGTCCCTCGCCGTTCAGCGATAGCGCGAATTTCCCCTTCATCATCACGAACCCTTCGCGATACATCAGGGTTTGAGATTACAACATCACCAAAGTGAAGCCCATGAATAGATCTTCAAGATGGAAGATAAAGAAGATAAGCATAATCTGGACACTACAACTAGATGTTGGCTATGTTGGATCAGCGCTATGGGTTGAAGGGAAAGGCAGCATACCCGAAAGTAGCGACGAACAAGTGGCAGAGATTTGAACAGTATGAACAGTAACCAACTGCCTGGCCAGCCTGACAGACAGTTCCACATCCCAGCACTCTCTACAGTCCTTGGGCCACAGGATACACAGGATATATCCTTCTGCTTTGTCAGAGCACTAAAAGTCTACCTACAAAGGACAAAATAAGGAGACGAAAATTCAAGCGCCTATTCATCTCCTTATCCACTGAGACGCCCACGGAAGTCTCTCGGACAACGATATCGATCTGGATGAGAGCCGTTATACTAAGGGCCTATAAAGCAGCAGGACTTGAGCCTCCACGAGCCTCCAATCCACATGAAGTCAGAGCCTTGGCGTCTACACTTGCTCTGCATGGAAACTGCTCAATTACAACTATAAATGAAGGCTGCTTTTTGAGATCAACCACTACCTCAGAGACATTGCCACCGAAGACGCCTCAGGCATTCACCAGTTTGGGCCACTTGTTGTAGCACAACAACTAACGGTTCCACAAAGGCGCTGAGAAAATCTCACCCTTTTTATCACGTGTCTTGTGAAAACCAACGCTCTGGAGAGCAAATGATTAAAGTCCATGGACACGTCTAAGACAGACTAGCATGAGTAATAGACCCTGTACGTGTATAGGACATACTTGTACATGAAGAAGGGTAGCATCTCCACTCCCATGCACACGTCTAGGACAGACTAGCATGAGTGTACTTGGTGGCATGGTGGGCGAGCTGGCTAAGGCGCCAGGCTAGTGATCCAACGGTGCCGGGATCGAGCCCACCTGTGACAGGGTGTAAAAAACCTTGGAGTCAACTTTGTGTGCTGACTCTTTCAGTGTTGTCACAACCCCTAGTTAACAGTACACAACCCTGTGCACTTAAAAGAACCCACGAATCCGTTGGTATATGACCAGATGGTGGCTACATGAATACGTGCAAACACCTAGTTGTGGGTACAACAACTTGCAGTCCAGTCAGTCCCAGCCCACCCAGCTGTGAATGGGTACCTCATACGGATGGGAAAGCCGCAATAACTCGGTGCACCTAGTGGCGGCAAGAGTTGTATGATCCCCAGGGAGTTGAGATTGATATTAAGATGTGCAGTTGAGATTTACATCCAATGATCGAGGGAAAAACTACCAGCGCCTTGAGCATGCACTAGTGCGTGGATATGTGCGCTATATAAGTATCCAATAATAATAAATATAATACTTGTATAGGACATACTCGGACATGAAGAAGGATCGCATCTCCACTTGATGCGCGCATCAAGAGATGGAGTTGCAATAGATAACTAATGGAATATTAGTATATCTAAAATCCACACGAAAATGTCAGGAGAAGTTTTGGAATAAATCTGACAAGTTGTGGTCCCCCAGACTCATCAGAGAGAAGTTGGAAGAATCTTCAACAAGTGCCGTTATAAGTTCCCAAGAGGGGTAGAACAGGACATTAATCTACAACCAGTGAATCCAGAAGTGGCTTGACCCACCACCGTTTCCGACGGATTCTGCAAGCATAATTAGCATGAGTCAGGATAAGGAAAATATGTAATTTTCTGACTAAAATTGATATTTTATACATATCCTGACTCATGAGGTTAGCCCTCCCAACCTCCCCTCTTATGGCACTCTGGATTTCCCTGTAAATCCGAGTGTAGGGCTTACATACGGAGAGAGTGACAAATATGGCCGATCATGTGACCAAAAGGGCGCCAAAGGGAGGAAAGGGACGCTACTCTGGGTGAGTGATTTTACGTCCGCTTTTTTAAAGGGAACTTCAAGGGATTTGAAGTGTTCCACTATCATTCGTAAGAGGAAGGAGACAAGCATAATTAGCATGAGTCACGATAAGTATAAAATATCAATTTTAGTCAGAAAATTACATTTATTTTTTTTCCTCCTGCCTTTAGGTTTTCTGAGGACAAAAATCCATAATGAAAGAAATAAAATTGGTCTGGCCTTGAACTAAAATATAAATTACTGATTAATTCTCTTCACAACAGAAATTAAGATTTGTGACCATATCAATGTCTATATGATCCTGCATATTAGATTGCATAACTGTTGCTTTCTGGTCTTCAGCTGTCCGGAGCCGCAATCTTGGGTATTGGGATTTGGTTCCTTGTTGACCCCAACATCTCGTCCTACCTGGATGTCATTCAGGTCAAAGGTGAAGGCGAGCTTCTTAAATATGCAGCATACATCTTCATCGCGTTTGGTGCTTTCGTCTTCGCTGTTGGATTTTGTGGATGCTGTGGGGCCATCAGGAACAGCCAGTGTCTGCTTGGCTTTGTAAGTTTTAAACATATCTTGTTCATTGGTTAAACATTCATAAGGGACTTTTCATAATTTATGGCTAGGGGTGATGATGATTTTTATGGAGAAGCATGTACAATGTGAATGACCCCCAGTAAAAGTTATGTACAAAGTAAGTGACCCCTCCCTGCATGTTATGTACAAATTCAATGAAAAAAAAGACACGCACGCACACGCACACACACACACACACACACACACACACACGCTCTATCTCATTTTCTTGTGTTATTTAATATGTCCTAAAGGGGAACAAGGGAAACCTTTTGGGTTTTTTAAATTTTACCTGTTGTCTTTAACATGTTTGTTCAGACTAAAGACATCCTGCAGGGGAGTTATAGCCTGATGTCAGTGTGTTTGGTATTTCAGTACATCTTCTTCCTGGTGGTCGTGTTCGCTGGAGAGCTGGCTGCAGGTATCCTGGTGGCTCTGTACAGAGGAGATGTGAGTTGGCATCACAGACTTGCCAAGATATGTTGTGCATTAGCAGTGTTTGAAATACCCTTCCACCAGAACGCCCGAGATGGGTTGAGTTTTTAGTTGTGTCGTAAATAATGAAGTTTCCAGACCGACAGGTTAACATTTGAACAATGATATCTTTATCTTTACACTCAGTAACACTATGAGTGTATTCAGGAACTTGATATTAGTCCAATATGTTATCAGCTATCAGCTTGTGGAAGTTGTTACACAAAGCACATCAAACATACCTTTCCTCTAGTTTTATTCAATTAAAGAAGACTTTCAGACGAATTTGTTAGGACTGGTTGGTTTTCAGTGGGGCTGGTAGGCCTTGAAAGTTGTCAGCCCTGTTATCTGGTACAAATTTTTGGCAGGTTTCATACACTGGTATTAGTGGCACCCTGTGATGTAGATTAATATAAGCTGTATCTTGCATGTGAAGACTAGAATCCATACCCTGACAGTGTGAGTCACACCTCTCAACACCTGCCAATCACTGACATTGTCTGATACACACTTGATTATTTTCAGCACTCCGTGCTGCATAACAAATTCAATAACTCATGTTCAGCTAAGTATTTTATCTATGCACCTTTTTCAGGGTTCAAAGGGGCTTGAATTAGCCTGAAATTTTGACATTTTATCCTAAAAAACCCTGTAATTCGTTTTAGCCCTAAAAGGCTAATTAGCAAAACTTATCAAGTTATGATTTAACAGGAAACTAATACATGATAAAAATATTTTGCAATGACAATGGGTGTTAATTAATCTCCATTGCGAAGGAAAACTTTCCTAGTGCAGTGATACAGCTGAGAGTTATTTCCCTCTGATTGTCAGTCCCACACCAAACTTGTGTGTATTCACATGTGTTTTATATGTATCTATTGCTCCTTTAAATTGTTGATTGGGCACTGCCCTTAAATGGCCTTAAAAATTGAGTTAAATATGATGGCTGATAATCTGTACGACCGCTGTATTTAGACCCACCAGCTGACTTCCCAGTCATGACATAGTGACAAAGGGGACAATGAGTCAACAGAGGAAGGGAGCACCCTATAGCATCATAGGAAGTTTGCAGAAAATATATGCCCATCATGATAGATTTGCATTCAAGTGTTAAATGAACATTCTAACCTTCATTTGATGAAGTTGTTTCAGATACCTGCTTTTAATTTCAAGCAACGCATTCTCGTCATTTACAGTTGTAAATAATACATGCAAAATTCGTACTTGGTACTGAATGACATATGTTTCCTTGTAGCTGGAAACCAAACTGGAAGCTGAACTGAAGAGAAAGATCAAGGAAGAATATGATTACGCTAACAGGTCTTCAGTGGGAGATGCCATTGACAAGGTGCAGATGGAGGTAAGCCTGTCATCCTGTATGCTTTGTCCATATGTTCAGTAATGGAAACTGGATATACATCTATAATATCTTCATTGTAAATGTAGATGTCCAGCTATATTCTGATGTTTCAATCAGTTTAATAGAAGGCAAAGAGTTGTTTCGACTGCACTTATGAAAGATGTACTGTGGATGTTGCTGCAATTCTGCTGTCATGTGCTCAACTTCAATGTAGCCTGGAGTTTACATAGCAACTGGTCATAAATTGCACTTATTTGTTTGAACAACTAACTTTATTGGTAGGTCCTCTTCTGATGACTACTTGCAGGGTGTAGTGGATAGTGTCTGGCAATTGAGGGCAAAAGCTGGTGGTTCATCCTCTGATGTGTCTTACCAAAACATAGACCTGTTGTTAGCTTGCCTTGCACACTACATTAAGGTGATGAGGCAGTGTCTTAGTTGGTATTCATCGCTGACTATGTTACTTGGTGGGGGGGCACAGTTGACTCGGTTGTCTAGGTGACTCGGTTGTCTAGGGAGACAAAGTTTGTCTTCATTTCTTCGTATCAAATGCCGGGGCGGTGGGGTAGCCAAGTGGGTAAAGCGTTTGCTCATCATGCCGAAGACCCGGGTTCGATTCCCCACATGGGTACAATGTGTGAAGCCCATTTCTGGTGTCCCCTGTCGTGATATTGCTGGAATATTGCTAAAAGTGGTGTAAAACAAAACTCGCTCACTCGCTCGTCACAAATGCCAAGAACCTATGATTGTGGGTTTGAATCCCTGATTTGACCTGATTATATTTCATGGTTTGTCAGGACCATACCCTTGCTTGGACAATTCACCAGTGTAGTAAACATCTAGCTTGATCTACTTCAAGCTTTTTTCCCATATTGAGCTGACTGACTGTGACAACACTATAATAGTGACGTTGAATAAACTCGGGAATGTTGACAGCAACATTATAATGAAATGCAGATGACCTATTTGTTGTCTTCAGTTCTGTGTTCTTTGTTACAGCTCAAATGTTGTGGTGGATCAAACTCATCGGATTATAACAAAAGCAACTGGAGCACTGCTACTAAAGTAGGTATTGTATTGGATGACCATCTTTACATATATCTTTCATATAGACATTTTTGGAGGGGTTAGGTAATGATGGCCCTCAAGCAAATTTGATTGTTATGTAGAGCATTAGTGATACAGCACCATTTGTACATTCCTATCAATATTGTGCAATTGTAGGCCAAACAATTGCAATACATCAACAGTTGTAGTTGCAGAAGAATCATGCCTGGTGTACCTGTTTATTCCAACATGCTCAAGTTATATTACTCAAAGGAACTTTAGAGATTGGTTGACCATCTTTGTTTGACTATAGTTGCAATTTGTTATACATAAACAGTACTTATGTGTCAGAAGACTGATTTTACAATTGATTTGATAGCAAGGATTAAAGAAATTCAGATTAAACTTACTTCTCCTTGGTTTCAGTTGTGACCAACATGTGAAGCTGGCCAACATTTACATTGTTAGCAATACTTTATTTACCTCCTATTACAGTGATATAAATAATTAACATGAGTTGAAGTTGCTTTGCTATTGCCACAGGTGACAACTGTCACAATACAATGCAAAAGTATGGAGAATGAATATAATACTATTGCAGTAGTGAAAATAGTGGAACTATGTACAACCATGGAGTTTCAAAATTCTGTTATCTGGCTTCTCTACCAGTGGAGATTGGGACACATGTGAATAATGTCATTGTATCCCAATTGTGAAGATCTATGCTCATGATGTTAATCACTGGATTCTCTGGTCCAGACTTGATTATACTGTTCATAATTTATGGGTGGTGTTGGGTGTGTGTGTGATGATTTTAAGGGGGGTCACCCATTTTGTTCTGGGGAGCTAGGGGGGAGGGCAATTATGTACACACGTACTGGAGGGGTCAGCAATTTTGTACATAAAAATATGTTTAAAATTATGCTTAGAAATAATAGGAAGGGGAGGGGGGGTCATTGATTTTGTACATGACATGCAGGGGAGGGGTCATTTTATACATAAATTTTAGGGGGGTCATTCACATTGTACATGCTTCTCCATAAAAATCATCACCACCCCCGTAGCCATAAATTATGAACGGTCCCTTACAGACCGCCTGTGCAAAATAAATATCTAATTTAGCTGTGAAGTGGTAATGACTGCCTGTGTATAGCTGGAATATTGCTGAGTATGGTGTTAAACAACAACCAAACAAACAAATATGTAAATATATCATTACCACATAACAGCTAAATTAGATATTTATTTTTGTTTTATTTGAAATGAAAAGATTGATTTTCTTTTATGTTTTTGAAATGAAAAGATGGATTTTCTGGGTGGTCATTGTGCCCTGATCATGTGTTCAGGGCTGCCAAGATGGCCCAGTTAATGTCAATTCAAAGTCACATGTTAACTCATTCACCATTTGAACATTTTTATTCTTTAAACATTATGGCATAGCGAAATGGTCTATAGGTTTTGGTAATTTTATCAAAACCATGTTAGTATCTTTGACTTTGTCTTTCAATAATTGAGCAAGAATACAGAATACCACATACCTTCCAACATAATGGTACTGAATGTGCTGCCCCTTACTGAGCTTTGCTAAAATAGGCCTACCACACAACAGTTTAGTCTCCAAATTTAATGAAATATGCATAATGAATTTCAGCAATCTATGGAAAAGCATTTTTAGGTAATTTTTCTGTGTTGATGTCCAATATGTTTGGTGAATATGTCAAACATAACCTTTGGTGCCTTTTTATTTACAGATTAGGTTTTTATTTTTCTCGTTTCCATGGAAATTTTGACTTACACCCATATAAATGCTTCGGCTTCCGGAATCATAACTCAAGAACCGCTCAGCATTTTTCAACAAAACTTGGTGGGATATAGCAAACAGATCCTAAAGTGGTGCCTTTGCCATACAGATTTTTTGCATTTTATTTTTCCGGTCCGTCTCTATGGAAACCATCCTTCCTTAGTCCCAAAAGTGAGGGTTTGCTTTGCTTCGAGCATAACTCAAAGAACCATTCAATATTTTTCAACAAGACTTGGTAGATATATCAAAATAGAACCTTAAGTGGTGCCTTTTGCTATTTACAGATTATTAGCATTTTCACTTTTCTCGGTTTCCATGGAAACATTTTGGACTTAGTCAAAAGTGAGGGGTGGGCTTCGTTTCCGAGCATAACTGAAGAACCGTTCAATATTTTCAACAAAACTTGGTAGATATAGCAAACAGATCCTAAAGTTGTGCCTTTTGCTATTTGCAGATTTTTGGCATTTTTCCCGGTTTCTATGGAAACGATTCGGACTTAGTCCCAAAAGTGAGGGGTGGGCTTCGTTTCCGGAGCATAACTCAAGAACCGTTCAATATTTTTCAACAAAACTTGGTAGATGTATGAAACAGAACCTTAAGTGGTGCCTTTTGCTATTTGCAGATTTTTGTCATTTTTATTTTTCTTGGTTTCCATGGAAACATTTTGGACTTAGTCTCAAAAAGTAAGGATTGCTTTCGTTTCCGGAGCACAACTCAAAAACCGTATAATATTTTTCAACAAAACTTGGTAGATATAGCAAACACATCCTAAAGTTGTGCCTTTTGCTATTTGCAGATTTTTGGCATTTTTATTTTTCCCGGTTTCCTTGGAAACGATTCGGACTTAGTCCCAAAAGTGAGGGGTGGGCTTCGTTTCCGGAGCACAACTCAAAACTTTCTATATCTTTCAGCAAAACTTGGCAGATATGTGAGGCAGATCCCAAAGTGGTGCCTTTTGCTATTTGCAGATATTTGTGATTTATTATTTTCTCGGTTTCCATGGAAATGATTCGGACTTAGTCTCAAAAGGAAGAAGGGATGGGTTTGTTTCGAGACACAACTGGAAAACTTCTTAATATCTTTCAGCAAAACTTGGCAGATATGTGAGGCAGATGCCAAAGTGGTGCCTTTTGCTATTTGCAGATATTTGTGATTTATTATTTTCTCAGTTTCCATGGAAACAATTTGGACTTAGTCTCAAAAGGGAGGGGTAGGTTTTGTTTCCGGAGCACAATGCGAAAACTTCTTAATATCTTTCAGCAAAACTTGGCAGATATGTGAGGCAGATCCCAAAGTGGTGCCTTTTGCTATTTGCAGATTTTTGTCATTTATTTTTTTCATGATTTCCATGGAAACGATTTGCACTTAGTCTAAAATCAAGCTGGACTTTAAGTAACTGTCAGATGATTTGTTCTTTCAAAGATGTGGAGGCCGGGGATATGTCATCTTCTGATGAGTCATTTTTCCTGTTGTTTCAAGCTTAGTCACCCTATTCTGAAGAGAGTCATGCTGTCACTTGCTGCTGTGTTAGCAACAGGAAGTAAACTTGGCAGCTAGGTGTCGGTATTGTGTAGGTGTGCCAGTAAATGTTTCTGTGATGTTGCTTCAGCTTGTCTACCCTGAATCCTGCTGTACCAAGGATGCAAACAACAACATTGCTGATCTGAGTCAGTGTCAAGCTGGGACAGGCTCCTACAATAAAAGGGTAGGTAGTTCTTGGAGTGGCTTGGCAAACACATCAGAACCTTTTCCACTGATGCACCATTTTGTTTGAAACATCAGATCCTCTGGATCCTCTCGCCCGTAACTTTGGTGACAACAAATACATGATTAATTTGAGGTTTGTTGCATAAATCATACCATCCTTTTATCTTTATCATGAATAGTCCAGCAATACTTGGTGAATCACAGTGGGGAACACCAGAAATAGCTTTCACATTTGAACCATGTGTACATAACTCTGACCTTGAATTTAGAGGAAGTTATCATTGCATGCCTGATACATGTGTATCTCTGCCAGTGTACCTGAGCAGTAATGGCACCTTTGTTTTGTTTTCTATACCTTATTATCTCTTTAATCTTATGATGCCTTTTGGTTATTATACTGCTCAAAAGATGTGAAAGAACACCTCTTTCTTTATATTATTGAAGGGACGGTGGGGTAGCCCAGTGGTTAAAGCGTTCACTTGTCACGCCCAAAACTCGGGTTCGATTCCCCACATGGGTACAATGTGTGAAGCCTATTTCTGGTGTCCCCCGCCATGATATTGCTGGAATATTGCTAAAAGCGGTGTAAAACCGAAGTCACTCACTCACTCATGACAATCAGGGGTGCAAATAACCCATTGCCCGATGTCCCAGTCCAGTGTTTTTTTCTGTTGGGCAAGCAAATTTGTATATCCGGTGTCCAGTTGACTTTCCAATGTTTATTATGTTGTTTATTTCAAAAATCAACAAGAAAATCAGCCGGTATAGTGGAAACATTTTCAGGGCAAGTGATTTTACATGTGCCACTGTACTGGAGTACACTAGCAATTTTAAAGTTATTTCCACCCCTGACAATATGGCAGTGACAGATTAACTGTGAGAATGAGAAAGAATCTTATGTTGTTTGATTTCTTTTGAGTAGTATATGTAAGACTTACTGTGATGTTCTGTATACAGGGATGCAAGGATAAGCTGATTGAATGGATGAAACAACACAGCACCATCATCATTGGTGTTGGATGTGGCATTGCTGGAATACAGGTAACATTACTTACAGAAATACAAGCGAAGATCCGGGGTTGGTCTTTGCCAACCCATGCTTGTCGTAAGAGAGGATCAGACTCCATGATTGACTTGGTTGACACACGGAGACCCGTGAAGATACGGGTTAAAATTGGTCTTCAGTAATTCATGGTTGTCGTAAAAGGCGACTAACGGGATTGAGTGGTCAGGCTCGCTGACTTGGTTGACACATGTCATCGCATCCCAATTGCATAGAATGATGCTTATGCTATTGATCACTGGATTGACTGGTCCAGACGCGATTATTTAGAGATTGACATCATATAACTGGAATGTTGATGAGTGCGGCATTAAACAACAATCCAACCAAAATCATACCTTAGACATACTGGAAATGAATAACATATACAGTGGAAACCGCCTAAGTAAAGACCGCTTAACTAAACAGACCGGATAAGTAAACACTATTCCTTGGTCCCGCCCGGCAAATTTCTTCATTAATTATCACTATTAGAGTTTGGTTAACTAAACTTGGATAAGTAAACAATACCGCTTAACTAAAGGTCTTCTCACGGTCCCTGGAAGTAAATTACTTTACAAAAGAGACCAGATAACTAAATTAGTGATTACCACATAATCCGACATGAGGGGCACCTGTCAGTCTCCAGCTATACAAACATCCTTCCTACAGCTCGCTGGCGTCATGCAGTTGACAATACACTGACAACTGGAGGCCAGCCCTGATAAGTTGTTCATTGTTACATATGCATACATATACATGCATATGGTTGTCATTTGCAGGTTTTTATAAGTTTGGATAAGTAAAATGCCTGATAAGTAAACAATTTTGTCGAGTCCCTTGAAATTTTACTTATCAGGTTTCCACTGTACTACTTTTAACACTTGTCTCATACATGTGCCTATAGTGTATCCTGCCAAGCCATGTTCTTTGATTACTACAGTGAATCTTACAGGCTATGACAGATTCATTGTGCGTGAATGTGTAAAACATTTTATTTAAACTTTGGGCAGATGTAGTTAAAGAATGTATGTTGCATTAATGTTGTATCTGCAGTTCAAATGATCTGACCTGTTCTGTAGGTTATATTTACTTCCATATTTTATCCCGAAGATTCCAATGGGGCATTCCTATCTTTACAGATCATTGGCTTGGTGTTTGCCATTGCACTGTGCAGACAGATCCGGTCTGAAGAGAAGTGCTAAATGTCTGTATTAGACATTACAGCAAAACATCAGCATTGGAGATGGACAGAGGATATATCGATGAGTTCAACAACAGTGAATGACAGTAGAACATGCCTTAGTAGACGTAACATAGCAAGAAACTAGTGCTCAGCCTGTGACAAGTTCACACATGAAAATGTCTATTTGTCTTTCGTCAGAGATTGTAGTTACAGAAAAATGGCATCTGTACATTTTCCATGACAGCTGTTAAAGATTTTGGCAGATAGTGTCCATTACCTCCAGTAAGGACTTCACCTCTCCTTTTAAGCTTTGATTCCCTTATTCTTTTTGTGGTCTCTGCTTAGCTTGGACTGTTTCTATGTATAACTGATCTATTTTTCTGTAATTTTAATTAACATGTTTTTGGTTTATGTTTCCAAAATTGAGAGGCTTCTGTGGTGTTTCAACAACATGAGGAAAATGACTTCAAGACTATGAATATGATGGAACTGAAAGGCTCTGCTTAGCTGAATGTGGGGATTTTGGATTTGTTTTTGGTTAAAGATAAATGTCCAAGCTATACAGAGACTATTTCTCTCATCCATTGAATAATCAAGAGATCTGGTTCATGTGTATATTTCAGTGTTATTATATCGATGGTGAACATATTGTGGTGTCTCATTCCATTCCTTCAAATATCCTGACCTCAGAAAAACAACAAAATGCATTCTTTTTCCATTTTATCAATTGATAATGTATGCACTTTGTATTGTTGGTGCAATTTTCATATGGTTGTTATTTTCTTGCACAGCATGAACTCTCGGAATGAGACTTTCAGAACAGCTGAACTGTTACTACTGTCATGGTAGACATGCAGTTGAATGGAATTTTGGAATCTGGAGAAATTCACTCACTTAATTCTTGAGCATCACTATCTGGAAACATGGTATGTGAATCTAGTCCTTCATCTCAGTGTGTACGTTACCATGGTAACTAGTCCATTTGACGACAGGCCGTAATCTTGCTGCTGATAGTATGTGATGCCACGTCAGTGTCTATTCTGCTATTGTATGTTTTCTCCATGTAATTCTCGGACGACACTAGTTGGCATAGTGTTAGGTTATTACTTCCCTTGTTTATGACAAGGATGCTCAGTGGTATTACAGTTAGATAGTTATAATAACCAAATATGTTGTTATTATTGAAATTTACACAGATCCACTTTGGATGACTAATTTATCTTTCACAATTTTTTAATGATTCTACCAATGTCTTTTTTTATTCTATAGGTTTGAGCTCCAAATACATTTACAGTTTTTAATGTATCACATTCAGATATTTAGAGTTTTTAGTACCCTTAAAAATATATATTTTTGTGTTAATACACAGATTTGATTAAATTGCTCAAGTGTTTTCTTTCTCTATCTCTGACATGTTTTTTTTCATCTTTTGTTGAGTATTTTCATTGTTTCAAGCACAAGAGGTATTACAGTGCTATAACCTGACTTACTTGATCTTTGTTTAGTATTATGTGCAATATGCCTGATAAAGTATAGATGGATCTATCATCAGCTTGAGTTTTGTTTGTAATTATGTTGATCATGATAATACAGTAACCATGGTTACCAACATGAAAGTAATCATGTGACATGTTATGTGGCTTTGTTTTTCGGATTGGTACCTGTCTATATTTGCAATGCTGAAACTAATACATGTATTTAGGATTCTGCTTTTATCATGCTTATGGGGGTTTGGCATTGTTTGGACATACATTTATTCCATGCTGTTATGATCGGGAGATTGTGCCAGTATGCATATCGCCCCAGTGAATCTCCATTGCTACAATTGCGGAGGAAACTTGACATAGTGGATTTTTTAAAGACCATCTCTTTGTTTGAGACATATGTTCATTGCTTGATTTAATGAAAATATTTTGAAAGAAAATGGAATTGAAATATGTGAAGATTGAGTTTTGCCCATTTGTGCCCCATGGTGATGTAATGACATTGGTTTCAGCCTGAATGTTAGACTGAGTTAGGATTAGGAATATCTTGCAGGTATTTTGGCAATAACAAAAACATGAAGCGAATAGACAAAGCAGACAGGATATTCATGCTTTACAAATTTTATTATTAGTGTAAGAAAAATCATTAATTGTTAAAGTTGATGTTTATGACCCAATTGTTAGATTGAAAATTGAAGCTTTTGAAATGGCAGCAGAATGTCTTCTATAATGTTATTGTTGACTGTAAGTTGTGGAAGAGTATTCCCTGTTTGTTGATTCTTCAGTGTTACTCCTTGTTGGTTTGTGGTGATCATGTCATGAAGTCCTACATCTCACTTGATGTTCATGTTACTTCCATTTTGTGGTGAGACAGGTCACCCTGATGACATATTTTTAACATTTTCCACAAAGGCACAGTTAACTATAAATATGTCCAATGTTTTCACAGATCAAAGCAAAAGAATGTGCCTTAGTTTGGTATCGGTTTCACTGAGAAATTGGCAATGTTCATGCTACGAGTCTACAAAATTTGGTTTACAGACACAGGTAATGGCAGAGATGTACGGCAAATTAAAATTTATGAAAAAGAACCGGGACTTTTCAAGCAATGGCAGTATATCGAAACGTGTAGTAAATGTTTCAATATTTTGTTGTGACCTATATATTGCTTGCTCTAGTTTGACCATTTGTCATCTAGCTAGGTTATATGCCCTTTATGATTGTGAATACTCACATCGCTTTGCCACATTGATATAAATATTTATGTTCATTTGCAGAACGTATTTAAAGTACTGTAATTTTCAAAAGCATGACATGTTGTATTTTCAGTGTGTGTCTTTCATTTTCAATGCAACTTTGCAAGTTCACATTATATGAATGTACAATTTTTCTCACTGGAAGCCAGTATTTGCACTTCTTGTCAGCTTTACACATGGTTGAAGGCTTTATATATTCAAACACCCATGACCTTACTTTTTGTAGCATATATTTTACATCTTGTTATGCAGAGCGCTTTTTTCCTTAAAATGTTTGATAATGTTATTAATTTATAATTTTGGAGTTGATACAAAATGATTGTACATCAAGACTAATAATGCAGTGTTAATGTGCCTGCAAAGTGACAGGAAGTATGCGTCGATGTGTCGGTGATTAGTATCTTGATAGGGAAGTTGGAGCGGTGGAAATGACAGCCCTACTTCACATCATGCTATTTCTCTTTCTCCAGGTTTTTTGTATGGGCCTAATTGTATTTTAAATAATAATATTCAAATGGCATGTTTTATTATGTAAAACATTTATATCTTAGAATGTTGATTGTTTCCTTCTAACAAATAGCTTAACATAGCTGTGTGATAAGAACTGAATTCTATTATTTACGTGGAATATTGATGTTTTATTCTGACTGATCACATGCTCAAGTTATCACTTGCCTCCAGTGTATCTTCATGCTTTTTCCGGACAGTTGTAAAATAAGAAATAAAATTGGTATTGCTAAAGTAAAAAAATAGTCACACTTCTGAAATTATGGTTGAACTAATGTTAACACAAACAAAAGATTTCCAAAGTCAGAGCCTACCTTCACATAATGTTTTGGTCAAAATCATCCCAGAACCATTGGCAGGTTCGACCTTTTGATAGTTAGGACCGACCTTTTGATATTCCTAGACATTCTGGGAGATATTTTTTAATATAACTTGTTCCAGAAAATATTGTGAAATGTATTGTAAACACATTTGTTATTTATTGTTTGGCCCTTCCTTCCTCTTACAGGAATATATTTTCATGTCTTGAAGCTCTGACTGAAATGAAATAGTGAACGTAGGTCAATTAGGTCCTTGGGTTTCTTCCCCTGCCCCTTCTCTGACATTGGCAATATTACTCAATAAAGTTCCAGTTCTGCTGCAGGAGCTCCATTAGGACTGGAAAAGAAGTATTGTAGTTTGGTCATATCTGAACTTTTGAAACTAAGAATCATATCTTTTTGTACTTGAAAAATAATTGTTTGGTACATGTTTACAGCAAACTAGCAAAATGTTTTTTTTCAACAATATGGTCAACAAATTTAACAAGATTGTTTGTATTTATACCTACGTATATATCAAAAGACTTGAAGTATATTCATCCATCATGAAATCTTTGGAGTATTCATCTCTCCATTTCTTACAGGTATATGTATTTTCATCAAAATTTCCAAGGTGGAAAAAAAGTAGATTTTTTGGTAGGATTTGACTATTATTAGTGTATGTTGAGTGTTATTTTGTTAATGTGTCTAACAGATACTCATCATATTGTAATGTCTTGTATTGTAAGCTGTAGAAGATATTTGGAAGGATCGATCTGTAGCCAAGCAGTGTGCAGTTTGTGTGCATGTTCTGCCTTGTTTTCTATACTTTTGTGTAATGTTGTAAATTGATATTTTGTAAGATTAAATCATCTTATATTCCGTAATAAAATAAATCAGTGTTACGTGGATTGATGTTCTTCATAAATGAAACTCAGAAAAACAGTTACTTGTTCCCTGCTGAGCTGTGACACAACTTACTCCTGTTTACCACCTGGCGCAGGTGGCTCTACAGCTTGAGTCAAGGACAGGATGGATGATAATGCTGATTTCCTTGGAAAAATAGGTTAACTACCCCACATTTTGAAAACTGGGTCTATAAGTAAACAACATGAGGAGAGCTTCTTACAAAAAAATGTATGTAGAGGTTTCTTGACAGGAAACTATCGTGTATAATTTATTGGTTATCGTTACTGCAGTTATGTGTTCAGTGAATATGGAAACCAAGCTGTTTCTACGGCCAGGGTTGTGCTGAAATATCACCTCCAGCAGTGAAAAGTGCAGCTCGTCAACTAGACTAAGGCTTAGTCTCTGAATACATATAATTTTGATAGTAACAAACAAGCCCATTTAAATTGAAAAGGAGCCCTAGGGAGACCAGAGATTCAGAACCTGGGGAAATCTAGACTTGCTTCGTTTAGGGCTTTAGCACTACAGGGAATGCTAGGCTGTAGGGGAAAATAATGTGGTTCAGGGACTGTGAGACAGACTACTCGTCAACCAACAAAGATCATTCTCACACTAGAGATGCGGGCGGTGTGGCAGCCGAGTTGTTCGCTCGTCGAGGACCCTGGTTCGATTCGCCACATGGGTATAATGTGTGAAGCCCATTTCTGGTTCCGCCGCCGTCATATTGCTGGAATACTGTGCGGGCGTAAAACTAAACTCATCACTCATACTGGAGATGTGATTTAACTACAGATCTATCATTTAATATGTGTACCATCCACATACATTAGTCACTGCTTTTACATATTGTCTCTTTGGGGGCGGTGGGGTAGCCTTTTGGTTAAATCGTTCGCTCGTCACGCCAAAGACCTGGGTTCGATTCCTCACATGGGTATAATGTGTGAATCACATTTCTGGTGTCGACCGCCGTGATATTGCTGGAATATTGCTAAAATATGGCGTAAAACCATAATCACTCACTATCATCTCATTTACTAGTATCTATTTTGCGCTGCTTGCCGTTACTAGTTTAAAACATCAGCAGATTCTGCTGAATTACAGTTCGCATCTTGCTGACGGATTGTAGGGGCAAGAATGTCACACTGACGGATTGTAGAGGCAAGAGTGTCACACTGACGGATTGTAGGGGCAAGAATGTCACACTGGCGGATTGTAGGGGCAAGAATGTCACACTGACGGATTGTAGGGGCAAGAATGTCACACAGGTTCTCAATGTGGATCCGATCCGGGCCCCGTTCCTCAAAGCGATCGTAGCGCTACGACAGTCGTACGTCTATGTTAAAGTATGGGAGTTACAATCATCTTAGCGATACGATCGTTGTGAGGAACGGGGCCCAGGACTGTATCAGGTCCAGACTTCAAGATGGTCATGGGCGATTTGCTTTGGCCTGCTGAAAATTTTAATGTGCACGGTGCGAGACCTTAGAGAATGTTTGTTGAAATGTGGCACTACAATGAGATCAAACTGTCACTGAGCGTGTGCCCGGTACTGTAACCGGCCCAGTCTGCAACCGTTTTAAACACATCCATCTGCACATCTGAATGTTTTCTTCGGCGAATCGCCTGAAAACCGTAGATCTGTAGTGGGTGTACACTGACACATACCTGCACCAGTACGTGAAACAAGTTATTATCAATTCCTAATTCATCCTCATGGACGTTGTGGCTGGTGAGGGCACCGTGTGTTCTAGCCGTGCAAATCCTCCATTCCTGGTGATGATCTGGGATCACTTCATCCCAACATATGGGTTCTTCCAAAACCAGATTATGCAAAACATTAACAAGTGTCCCTAATTCTCTTCTTCATATCAACTCCTGCAACCTTTAATCGGGTTCCTAATATATGTCATTGAAAACCACACAAGGACACCAATGACCAGACTTATTTGGACGATATGAAAAAGGATACAGACATGGTACAGGAGTTTGGCACATTAGAAAGTGCACAAGCAAGACAGATGTGTATAGTTGAACGATTTGGTTGGTTCGTTTGTAGCCCTCATCAATATTCCAGCTACATGGCGGCGGTCTGTAAATAATCAGACCAGACAATCCAGTGATCAACATCATGACCATCATGGCAACTGGGATACGATGACATGTGTCAACCAGTGTTGGAACAGTATTTGTCAGATTACACTTGTTAACATAGAATTTTGCTACAGTGAACACATAATTAAGACTCATAATGTCAGCCTTACATAAGAATCTGTTTCCTGACATCCAGGCAATACATTCTCTCTGTAAAAAAAAATATGATAGCTACTAGTTTTAAATTTATTTAAATTTGATGCTCTGGTGTTTTTACTGCCCTTCGATGACAGGTTTTTCTGTCCTAAATTTATTGATTTAATATTGATATAAATTAACGTGTTCTCGTCACGATATGGCTGAAATATTGCCGATGTGACGCTAAATATTAACTCACTCAATGTAACAAAACATATGTTGCCAATCGATAAACTTTAACCAAAAAGATATGACTGATGAACAATAAAAAATAGAAATGATTAACAGTATCAGTGAAATCACACTTCGCACACTTAGTAGTAAACTTTGTAGTCCAAATGTGAGTGAATGCAGACTTGGTGTCGTCGCTATATGGCTGAAATAACGCCGATGCGGTGTAAAACTCAACTCATCTCAATTATGACGTTTACGCTTACGTACAGGGCGACCCTTGAAGATCCGGGTTAGAATTGGTCAATCGCCTAGATCGATGTCCGTGGTGTGGGCACTGGACTACAGGGCCCCGTTTGACAAAGCTCTCGTAAGCCTAAGATCTCGTAACTTTTCTCGTAGCATTCGTACCTCCATTACTGTAACATTGGAGGTTCGAATGCTACGAGAAAAGTAACTAGATCTTAGGCTTACGAGAGCTTTGTCAAACGGGGCCCTGGAATGGTGTAGGAGTCAGTGACATAGCCGCTTAGGCAAAGAATGGTTGGTCGGAGGACAGTGTCTCCTAACTATCAACACATCATTCAGGGACTGGCCGCATTCATTCAATGAATAACGCAACAACTCAGATAATATAATCCATAACTCTCTTCATACAAAAAGACTCGAACAGGACAGGACAGGCTCGTCAACAAATGGAAAACTGCAACGATCGTTCTGCTGATTTTGAACCGGCATCAATTTGTTAGAGTAGACAGTATCATTTCAAAGTGTTCGAGATAGACCCACCCCTGTCACGTGTCCCCATACAACGTTCTTGTTTCATTCCAAGTTACATTATTTCATGACCTCAGGTTTTGCCTTGTGATCGATATTACTGAACACTACCTACCGGTGATTCTCCGTTAACTAATACCTTACGAGTCAAATGCATTCTGTTACTCACGATTAAAATGTTTTATCTATTTTTATGTTTTTAAAAGGAGCATCGATTCCATTACGACCCCATCACGACATAACCGCAGTTCTCAATAATACTTTTTAAATACTTTTCTTATGTTACAGCAGCGACCATATAATATATTTATTATATGGTCTCTGTTTACAGTGGTGCGTTTTACCTTATAACAGAGTGATATAACGTGCTACAAAGGGAATTTATGACAGCTGTAAGACCTTGACCTGTCTCTCTGGATCCTGCTCACTGTAATATGGTGCACTGTCCAAGATAGTCAGGGACCTGTCAGTTTTTCACCCACTCTAGAAATACCTTGCTGTTCATATCTGTGTGGTAAAAATGTTGTATTTGGCCTTTGTGCGAAAGATGAGGTCACAACCTGGTGAAAACATGGATCGTGAAGATCCGGGTTAGAATCGGTCTTCAGTAACCCATGTATGCCGACTAACAGTATCGGGTGGTCAGGCTCGCTGACTTGGTTGACATATGTCATCGTATCCCAATTACACAGATTGATACTCGTCATGTTGATCACTGGATTGTCTGGTCCAGACTCGATTATTTACAGACCGCCGCCATATAGCTGGAATATTGCTGAGTGTGACGTTAAACAACAACCAACCATGCAACTGGGTGAAAACACAACCAGGATCGAGAAGGATAAGTCGTTCACCTTTTCCCATTGGTAACAGTCCCCACCGGGTACCCACGGACTACTGGTTGTGGGAGAGGCATTTACCACCGTCTCATCTAGGAAAACAGGCTCATTCTTCACATTGACAGATAATGATTTCGGAGACGAACGATGTCAGATTGTTCACATAAACACAGCCCTATTTTCACCCCCTATCTGTCCGTATCTGTATCCAAATGAATTCAGAAGTCGCCACAGTTAATATTATGACCCATTTTAATCATGTTCAGTTTCAAGGTATTTCTTTAAGAGTCTAGTGACCCGCACATATATTTCCCTTCAAAAGTTTAGACTCACTAGTGTAAATATAGCCACTTACTTCAGGCAACTGTTCCAAACTAAATTTGGCAAAATATTCCATATTGTTTAAAGGTACTGTTTACACATGAGTGAGTGATTGAGTTTAGTTTTACGCCACACTCAGCAATATTCCAGGTATATGGCGGCGGTCTGTAAATAATCGAGTCTGGACCAGACAATCAAGGGATCAACAGCATGAGCATCGATCTGGGAACCGATGACATGTGTCAACCAAGTCAGCGAGCTTGACCCCCTGATCCCGTTAGTCGCCTCTTACGTCAAGCATAGTCGCCTTTTGTGGCAAGCATGGGTTGCTGAACTGTTGTATTGTAAAATAAATTCGTACAGTTGAAAAGATTATTGTCATGAGTTCACGAAATGATAAAATTCTTAACAAAAATTTAAACCAAAGCGCAGCTGTTCACATGCATTATATTTGCAATTGCGAGAAATCAATCTTCGATGTAACCATATATATATACATAAGGTATAGTGAGTTTTGTCAGTGAGTCTAAACTTTTGATGGGAATTCTATTTTCAGATTGTACTTTAATCTTTGCACGACTGAATTGAACTTATTAAAA